TAACTTGGTTTAGAATCTTTTAATTTTAATTATCATTCTTTGGTAATGATATTTCTTCAATTTTTTTTAATTTTTCAGCTTTTATTAATATTTCAATTTTTTATTTTTTTTTGTTTGGTTGTTGCTTGTATGTTATTTCTTTGTAATTTCAGTTTTTTGTTTAATAAAATTGTTATTTTCGGTTAATCTTCTTAATTTTTAAATTTTTTTTTCAGGGTTTTCAAATCAATTTATATTATATTAGACAATGGAAGTCCGAACTGATGAAATATCCTTCTATAAGTGTATCTCTTTGGTTATTAAACAGAGAGTTTATTTCTTGAATTTACACAGGGTTTTCGAAATTCAGACCAGAAAAAGTAAAACATTAAGAAGTTTTCTTTCCTTTTCTAGGTCACAGCAAAGTCGAGATATCTCCATAAAGTTATTGTGGTTCACACATTCATTATAACTTGTTATCCATACACTGCATATAGATTTCGAATTTTGTTTATGATTTTTTTTTAAAATTGTAGCTAGTCATTGCATTGGAAAACATATGACTTTTCAGATGGCATTGTATTACTATGTCCTGTAGCTATTTTGGTAAGGCACCCAAAGGCACACAATTTACATATCAGTCCCAATACCCACTGTCTCGATATATTTTCTGAGGTCTTAATATACTTGATATGAACTCGCTCCTTTATTATAAAATAACCAAAAATTGTATTAAACAAAAACTTGATAATTTTCTGTGGTATTGAGGTGAAAAGAAAGCTCTCAAAAAATGTTTTTCTCCCTAAATTCAACGTTTATGATTATCTCATCTAAGATGTGCATCTTTTCAATATGGGGCAAAAGTTGGGTCTATAATTAATTTGGCAGAAGTCTATTCCTCAATAATTTCTACGAGAAATGAGCGATGCCTTTTATATTATGTACATAGTAAATTACTTTAGCATTCAAATAATACAAATTACAATTGTCACATGAAATTATGATTACAAAACATTTACATTTTAATTATATCAATATCATTTTATTGGGAAGTTGTAAGTGAACTCTTGAATTTATTACCCTTGATTCGTTTTTCAATATTGATTTTGAAACAATGTTAATGCTTCATTCATAGAATACAGCTACTGGTATGATTGTTTCGATTTTTGAAACACTTATATATTTCAGAAAAGATACCTCGAAAATAATCTTGTCTGACTTATACAATAAATAACATAATTAATCCTAATAATTTGCAACAAAAGGCGAAAATGCTTGGCTATTGTCAAATAATATTTATTCATTCTGTATTTTTTTTGTATTTAGAAGATTAACAAAAATTTTTTTTTCAGCGAAATATTGGCGTGATACTCTCGATGATGTACAATTTGAACAACGAAAATTCGTGCTCAAGGATGTTAACAACAACAAAAATTAATTGGCGCTCCGGGGCGACTTCATTCATTCCAGTGGCGCATTCAATTAAAAAACAATTTGGGTAATTACTAAAAATATAGAATTTATGAATTTCATTTGTGTTGAATTATTAACAGAAGATTGAAAAATTCTTTGGAAAATATTTGCACATTATGGTCATTGTGTTCAATCTCAAAGGGGATGTGATAACTTACATTTTTCACGTTATCACTGCCATAGAAATTTGCGGTTTTTCTTAATATTTCAATTGAAAGGGATATATTCTTAGGAGATATTAATTTTTGGGAAAGAAAGGTTATGGCTTTCTACTTCTTCATCTTTATACAAAAAAAATGATTGTAATCCAAACATTCGTTAAGGAAATCAGATATCTTTCACGGAATTACAATACAGTAAATGAAAGAGGTAAAACTTCATATTTGCCTTATTGCCTCTTTGGCATAAATCTGGATACTATTTCAAGATGAAGATTCCTACATTTTTTGTATGAAGTTGGAAAGGTATAAATACAAAACATTTCCCATAAAAATATTGTAATTAGTGTACGAAATCAATTTTCTCCAAGTTGGTCACGAGAGCAAGTTTTGCACTCAAGTATAAAAGGTAATGAAAAAAAAAATGTTTCAAAGAACTTCATAAAACCGACCTTGAAACATTTTTGAAGTTTGTTATTCAAAATAGCTTCCATATGCAATCGATATGACTTTCTAGTTTCGCTTCATTTTTGAACCTCAAACTAGTTTACACATTTTCCTTCACTTAAAAGTTGTACTTCAAGAAGAATGCTTATACAGTATTTATACATAAATTATATTTTTATAAAAATGTGAATACTATTATATTTACTATTTTAATAAATTATTACTAGATTGTTAAGATTCGTTTTATTTTGAAATATCATTATTTAGTGAATAAAGGAAATGAGAGACATGTTATAGAAATAAATTTAAACTTTATTTGAAACAGTTCAAATTTTGGACTGCTGATTTCATTATTGATGATTAGGTCAGCAACTTTACAGTTTGTTAGTAAAAAAAAATGATGATTCATAACTTGTCCTGCATTAAGATACTAGGACCAAATATTTTCACATGATTTCAACAGTCCATCGATTATGAAACTAATATATTTTATTTACAATAAATATGATCTGATAATATTTACTCTTCTGTTGATTGTTCATAATTGATTATTTATTTATATATTTATCAATTTTGGGAATTAATTGATCACAATCATTTTCAAATACAAACAGATTTTTGTATATTTCCAGTGGTTCCCCAAAGTTAAATATTTTGTGCATTTGTTCAAGTGCAATTTAGTAGAAACATTTATCAGAGATCTACCTAGTGAATATACTATCAGAATTGGAACAATGTAGCTATTTTCTTTCTTTTTCAACTTGTTATTCAGTTGTCTAATATTAAATTTTGTTCGAGTTTGAAAAAAGTCTTCGAAACAAAAATGAGTTAACCATATTGTTAATCTAATACTATCAATCTATTCAAAAATTGGAAGTACTTCTTCGGAAGTTGTGAGCAAAGAATCACAAAAGTTTGTATAAAATCTGTTTTTTCACATTATGCCCTACTTCAAACGGGTCAAGGAATGAACTATATTTCATAAATACACTTCCTAATGAATATTTTGTCGTCAAAATAATGTTAATAAAAAGACTACTCCAAATTCAAAAGTAGGACATGCTGCCTCAATTTTTCATGTTTCCCAAGTTTTCAAAAGTTGGATGTTGAAAGTAGGTACCTTCGAAATATTCATCTGTGATGCAGGTTATCTACATAAATGAAGTACCAGTATAGACATGGTAATCAATATAGTAACGGTAATTCTCATGATTTTGAAAATGATGAAAGTCTGCACACATGTATAGTTGGACTTTTCCGAAGGTTCCTTTTGTTTTATATTAAAAATCTGATGCATTATGTAGATATTCCACTGTTTTATAATATTAAACAGAGCTAGTTGCATGGTGAGATGTACAGTGACTATCTGACGAGCATACGGACAAAGGAACTGGACTGTATGCCATGGTGTTATAATCTGTGCAGTTGAGATACAGCCTAGAACTGGTACGATCACATTCTGGGCAGGATCTTTTTTTCTTTTTACTCCTCCTGAACAAATCGTAGGCACATCTACAAAAAAATATTACATGCAATAACCAATCGGTTTTTTTTTTTGGTGTATTACATTCAATAATAAAAACAACTGCAGTGGGAACAACACTTTTATTTGGCAAACTATTCGCTTCCATGGAAATTATTTCAATGACAGGAGCTACCGAAACATTATGATTGGTGAGATATTGTATTCAGAATCGTATACACAAGGGATACTTGATCTTCACATAGTTTATGCCCTATATTTCAAACAGAAACAAAATTGTTCATCAAGACTATCATCCGCATTTGCTATTTTGGTAAGACCAAATTGAAAGATTTCAAGTAGACAAATGATGATATCGTTTTGTGTAAGGATTATGTCTTTGGACATTCAATTCTTGAAGAAGTAGTAAAATTTGAATATTTTTTATCGCTATCAAATATGGTAAACTGATACTAGTAGTGTATCTGAAATCTGAATATAAATGAACAGTAAATTGGCTCTGATTGAAAAAAGATTGAGAATATATTTCCGAGAGACAAGTCTTGTCTCCTTTGATAATATATTCGGAAATTATGAATCCAGCATTAGAGTTTGCAAAAAACCATCAAATTGACAGTTCTATTCAATAAGGGCCAATTTATACATCTTAGTCTTTTTTTGGTTTTAATTTTAGTCGCAAGAAAAATAGTTCAATGTGTACGTTTCCATTAAAGCATTTATACACAGTTTTATGTCCTTGTCTGAGACTAAAAGACCAGTAAGACAACTTCGATTTTGTCGAATATGTCCACAAAGAGGTTATTTCTCAAACTAATTGAACAGTTTACAACTATGGGGTCTTCCAACAGGGACTTCCGAACTTTGACAATTGATAACGGCCATCTTGTCGAATGTACATCTATCAAATATGTTGTCATTTATTCAGTCCGTTTTACCAAAACACCATGGACTGGTATAGTATACAACAACACGTGCAAATGATAATATTGTTTTATCAAAATGGGTGTTATGTTCGGACAACGTACCGCGCGCTTCGCCCATTTTACGGTCGCCATAATCGTCCTTCCGAGAGGACTATTCATAATGTGGTGGATAAATTTGAGACCACTGGTTCAGTAAACGATCGACCAACATCCGTACGTAGACGAAACGCAAGATCTTTCGAAAATATCGCCGCTGTCTGTGAAAGTGTGCAGGTGAATCCGAGGCAGTCGATTTAGCGTCGCTCAACTGGCAACTGACCCTAATTTTCATCGAAAAATCATCTTCAGCGATGAGGCCCATTTCTGGATAAATGGGTATGCGTGAACAACATGAAAATCCTGGAGATTAAATTAATTTGGAAAAACGTTCTCAGGAAGTTTATTCCACATAAACACAGTTCTTCAAATGAAAGCATTCTTAAACAGTTAAGGTTGAAGTGTACTGAGTTGAACCTTCAAACGATGAGCAGCCACAGTCCGTCGCGTATTTCTGATATGTACCACTCTTTGTAGAATCAAATATGCCAAGTCACTTAAACTCCTGTGAAAGTATCTATAACAGAGAGACAAATCTCTACTTCGATGTTGCAGACTATCAAGATTGCAAGTGATGTTCGTGTCTCCAATCAGGCGAATAACTCTTTTCTGGATGGAATCCAGCAGCTTCAAAATATGCTTAGGGGTGGAGCTCCAGACATTTGAACAATACTCCAAATAAGGTCTGATAAACTATCAAAATTTGCTCAGGTTTGTACAGTTTTCTAGTTCAGAACAGTGTTCCAAGCTTTTGAGAAGCAGAAGCCTTTGCAATTCCAGCGACATGATTCTGCCAAAACATATTGGTGTTTATTTAACCCCCTACAAACTTATCGAAGAAGAAAGCGGAACTGTCTGTCACCAAAAACGCTAACTTATAACGGGTTATTCTGTTTTTTGGTTTTAATCAAAAAATAAAATTAATTATGGTTTCTTAGAGGCGAAAACGCGGATTAAAAATCTATAAACGCTTTATTGTACAGCTTGAAAAATGTATTTTTTTTTATTTTTGATATTTCCTTGCATAACGTTAGAAAAAGTGAACACCAAATAAAAGGATTTGAATAGGCTTTAAAGTGGTCGCAACTTTTTGCTAATTTAACCCACTTTATATCTTTCACGGTTCTCGATTTTCCTATGCTGACTCTCCTTTTCTCAAAAACGCCGCAAATGACCGTCGGTACTGTAATGGGTTATTATTGTCAACTAGATGAGGGTAAAATATTGTACTGAATTAATTTCCACAATAGTAGCCAATAGTCTCTCTTGATATCATGTTCTGTTTCGATGCGTAATATGTTTATGGTTAAACAAATGTTCATTTATGAAAAATGTCTTGTAACACCGTATAATACAAAATATATATTTTTACCTTGCGTGAAGGATATGCGCACAAGGCAAGGCTTCTAGGGATTCACTTTCAAGGCCATAAGGTGACCCACAACCTGCACACTGAAGGTCAAGGTCTTCCTGTAGCCTAAGAGCAACTCTTTCATGGTGTAATTTTTGGTCTTCATCTCCTAATGAATGGTATATTCGGGATAAGCGGATTCGAACCTTACGCACCAATAGCTGAAAAGAATGTTATTTTTTCTGTAGATAATTAACAGAATGATTCTATGAAGTTTAATAGGTAGTGAATTCCAGATGAATTGAAAATAATGTCCTCTATGTTACCCTGGTGAAGGTTTCTAATATTTTTCATGCATCTGATTTTACTTAAAAAAATATTGTACATCTTGTAAAAATGACTAGAAAATCTACCAACGTATTGAAATGAATGAACTAGACAAAATGAAGTTGCTTCTTTCATTAAAATCAATGGGACTTTTCATAACACACACAAACACGTAGGTATGTTATATATGTATTATGTGCGTTATGGAAAACTATTTTGAATATTGGTTGTCAAGATCAACTATATTTCAATGAAATATAAACCAATTGTGCCTTCAATATTGCATACCTTAGCACCTACTGAACTGGCGACTTCCAGTAACCTGGTGTTGAATTCAAGAGGTCTACAGTTACATATTTTGTGTTGAAGTCTTAAAGCCTCGAGACATCGCGCTGCTCCATCCATTGATTCCATCTGGATCACTCTATCTCCCATGGCTGCCGCGGAACCCATTGCTGTTTCATACTGTCGAAATGCTTTCTGTACCAAAAAATATAAACCATTGTTAAGTATCTCAATTTTTTTTTATTTGAATTCGAAGATTGTTCAGGTCTACTACTAGTACTAATCTAAGTATTTAGTAATAGACAGCGAAGAGGGACGGTAGTTGGATGGTTAGCGTAAGTAAATCAGAGATCAAACAGAAATGTGCCCTGCTGGAATGAAGATCTGGCGAGGATTATACAAAAAACTAGAAGAGCCTTCAAATGTGCAAGGAAATCAGGTTCATGGGATCAATACAGAAGGTCCCTAACTGAGTATAACAAAGACCTGAGAGAATCCAAGAGAGATACGTAGTGAAGGTAATGTGAGGAGGTCGAATAGACCCAAGCATGTGCCAGGCTCTACAAAATACTCTCGAAGGAACCTCAGGTCTCAATAAATAATCTGAAAACAAATACGGGGGAGTATACAAAAACCGGAGAAGAGACTATCAGAGAGCTTTTCCTGGGCGAATTCAGAACTGGAGACCCCGAAAAGAGTATCCAGGGAGGACTGGCAAATGACAAATAAGGTGATAGATATGGAGAAAATTAAATGGGCTGTAAACTCATTTCGACCCTATAAGTCGCCGGGACCTGATGGCATATACCCAGTAATGCTTCAAAAATGACCGGAAGTACTTTTCAAAAATTGTGTATAATTCTCAGAGCAAGCTTAGCACTGGGACACATACCAAACACTTGGACACTGATCAGGGCCACCTTCATTCCGAAACCTGGGAAAATTGGACAGGACTTGGCGAAGGCTTTGAGACCAATTAGTCTCATGTCATTTGCGTTGAAAACTCTAGAAAAACTACTTGACAGGCATATCAGGGACGTATCACTGGCTAAACACCAAAGTTCACCTTTAACACAAACTTCATGGCCAAAATCATAAGCCGTGAAGAGTGGAAGAACATTAGACATCTCGAAAACATGTTTAGAAAAAACACCTGGTATACAGATGGATCGAAGACCAAACATAGAACGGAAGCTGGAATATACCAAGCGGATAGAAATCTAAACTACAGCTATCCGTTAGGACTATACACATCCGTCTTTCAGGCGGAAGTGTATGGTATCTTGCAGTGTGCAAGGCTTATTAAATTAAGACCTCAAAGAAATGAGCGGATCAATATTTTTACAGACAGCAAGAGCGCACTAGGGGCTCTGACAAACCCGAAGGTGACATCAAAACTGGCCTGGGAATGCCATGAAGAACTGAATGAACTTGCAAACAGGAACAAATTAACTTTGTACTGGGTGCCAGGGCATTCTGGAATCACAGGTAATGATAAAGCTGATGAATGCGCTAGACGCGGATCATCAACTTCATATATAGGTCCTGAACCAGCTCTGGGGGTACCAAAATCATTGGTACGAAACCAGATTAGGACATTGACCAATAAGAAGCACACAGAGTACTGGACAAAAGTACCTGGCAACAAACACAGTAGAACCTTCATTAGGGAACCGTCCGAGAAAAGAACCGAAGAACTACTTCAATATAGTAGGGATCGACTCAGAATAATTACAGGGTTACTAACCGGTCATTGTCCGCTTAGAGGACACCTGAATAAAATGGGGCTGTACAACGAAGACCTCAGCTGCATATTATGCAACGAAGGGATAGAAACAGCTCTACACATCTTATGTGAATGTGAGGCACTGAATCACAGGTGGCAGGCAATATATGGACTAACAAAATTACGCCCAGAAGAATATGACGAACATCCAACACGGAACCTGTACAAACTAGTACAGGGAACGAGACTGATGGAATGGGTGTCATGAGAACATAATAAGCAATAAGCCCAAGAGGCTGCAGTGTTTTCTGAAGACATGGCGTAAATGGACAAGTCAGACAGCTCCCAAGGTACAACAAAAAGTGGTTCGTTCTACACATTCAATCGATCGCTATGTGGAAGGGTGATTCGACCTCGACGTGACGACCGAACGATCCGTTTTTATTGCATATCATCCAACCCGTGCTAGGAATTGCATGTTAAAAGGTAAGCTCGCACAAGTTTCGACTTCTGAGAGTTGTCTTTTGTAAGGGGCGATAGCTGGTTCAAATAATAAGAAAAAATAGTTTCTTATTGTTGGTTGTTACGTTCAATTTGAATAAAAAAACCTTGATATGGATTCAAAGGGTAAACTATTCGATAAGGCAATTATGATAAGGTAGGGTCAGGTTAGGATTAGGTCAAGAGTGAGTGGGTCTATTCGACCCTCCACCGCAACCTGCAAGGTTTATTGTGACTGATACCATTTCAAACTCGACCAAATAAATCCAGCTTTTTGATAAATCCGATTAGTGTATATGGTGAGTGATGTTTCAGGTCAGATGGTAGAAGTGTGGTTCTACCAAACTCTGAAAACCTGATTCGGTCTACAGCAGGGCAGGCACGAAGTATATGCTCTGCTGTTTCATCATTTTCCAAACAGAGGCGACACACACTGTCTTCCGACAGTCCGAGTCTCTGCATATGATGCAGATACAGGTGTTCAATGTTTGTTTGGCAAAGCATATAGCAATGCCAAAGATATGTTCTGGTCCCATGAAGCTACTTGCAGCACCCTCCTTTGCAAGATTATGAAAAGTAGATTTATAGTCAAATGCGTTCTTAGGATCCTAACTAGGGGAGCACCACAAATAATCGTCGGAGAAATGGAGGGAAAAAGTGAAAGCGAAGATTTTGTAACAACTCCTATTCCTTTGTCTGTAGTAACTAGATAATTAGTTCGAAATGTTCGACGCCTCAAACTTCTAGAAAGTCTTCCTTCTAAAGAGAATCTGTGCAAAATATGTATTAGAAAACCCTTGACTTCTAGGAAAGAAGATGATTTGAAGTTTGTTGTTACTAATTTCAGTGTGAAACTAAACAATTGTTGAACAAACTAAGCGAGTTATAAAACTTGCTTCAAGGAGCACACATCATTAAAAACGGGTTTTTCCAACCCTATCTGAAAAAAGATAAAAAATGAATTAAACTTATTCGATATGTTTAACAGAAATCAAAAGTGAAAACTACCGAGGAGAGATACGTACGTATAAGAAAATAAATATTTCGAAATTAAATTTCGGAATCTCTCCCAACTACCTACACTTTACCAAAACCTACTGTAGCTTTTACTTTTGATTTCTGTTAGAGTTTTGGTATATGGGATGTTTCTTCCCCGCTTGGGGTTTTGTTCACGGGATGGAGCTGTTACTAGTTAAAAATCTTTCTCTTAGAAGAAGGTTTCATACAACGTTGCGGAACCGTGTTGAAATTAATTGAGTGCAAGACACTTTGCTGTCTGGGTAGGATCTTTCCTGTACTGACGAGAGGTAATACTTCGAAATCGCGGTCTGCAGATGATCTACTACTGAGAAACACTTGCGAGACTAACCTCTGTGAGGTATCTCACATGAATGTCTGCCGGATATAATTCAATATCCAGCGTGGTACTAGCCGGGGGAGTAGTTGTTTTTCGACAGACATTCACCAGAGCCAACTGTGTAGGTAGTTGACAGAGATCAATATTGAGAAATGTTATTTCGAAATATTTATTTTCTTATATTTGATATATACCAGACTTCTAGTGAACCGAAAAATGTGGAGTTGAACAACCTCAATTGACAATTCACTTTTTTATTGGTTGCATGCTGAGTGAGGCACTGCCATCGAATGTGTGGAAGAAGAATACTTTAAGTTATACTTGAGTTGAAATAATAACAATTGTTGAATCAGTCAACAGCTACACATACAAATAAATCCACAATTTGGTTTATATTTTTTGTATCACATACGCAGTCTCTTGACTATTTGTCAAATATACGTCGACTCTTCTACCTTATCTGCACAGACTTACGTTATGAATAATAATATGATTATATCTGAGCATTATTTGACAGTTCAATTTATATGTAATGTATGAATTTGATGATTTGAATGTCAAATTTCTGAGTAATAGTGACTTCAAATGACTATGATGAACAAAAAAGTAATACGTATGTACAGTATTTGTGTATAGCACATATACAGAGTGCTTATTAAACATGCGGCAAAAATTTAAGGGGCTATTGCTTGTACTATTCTAAGGATATTTTGCCCTTTATTGATATTTGATAGGACGCTTTGTTTCGAAGATACTGAGCCAAAAATAATTTCGACAATAACAATTTATCACAAAAATTACATGTACTGTTTCTCAATCAACAAGACGTGTTGAAAATAACTACCCCCCGCTCGGATGTGAGAATCAATCTCCTCATCGATTCCCGAACTCTTTCAAAAACACCAGGATCGTTTCTGATTGCGTTACACCCAGCAATTATCCGATTTCTCAAATCTTCCACATCTTCCACTGGAGTAGTATAAACTATAATGACTTTAGGTGGCCCCTATTAGTTGGTAGGTCCAGTGTAGTACGCTATACTTTTATTTCAGCTACGTTAATAATTTAAAAATTAACAAAATTGTTATTGAAAAAATTGCTTTCGCCCCGTATCTTCGAAACAAAGCGTCCTATCAAAAATCATCAAAGGACAAAATATCCTTAGAATAGTCCAAGGAATAGTTCCTTAATTTATTGTAGCATGTTCAATAAACACCCTGTATAATTATTGATAATGCCGGACATAGTGGACAGGGAAATACCACCCTATATATTGATATGACCACAAAAGTATTAATCAAAATCTGTTCTAATAAAAATGAAGTATTGATTAATAATATTCAAGATTTTCCAGGTCATCTATGTTAAATTTGATAGAGATCAATACGGATCTAACCATTTCATAATTCATCATTTTGAATGGACAGCAATTCAAAAGGATACGTGAATGAAGCAAGAAATTAAAATCAATATTTCAACATTCAATTCAATGGAAGCCGAAAATTGTGATTTGTAATTTTCTCAGTCTATTACTTTTTTCTTTTGTAGTTTCTAAAACCACATGAAATATTTTAAGTATTTGCATACATTATTTCTCCGAGGAAATGTAATTTTGTCGAGGAAATTGTATTTAGTTTTACCTGCGAGTATTCAACTTTATACGTTTTGTACTTCTGTTTGCGTTTTGTACTTCTGTAGGTGAAAGCATATTCAACAAAAAATTAAGATTCGCAGCAAAAAGAAACTGACATTGAGAAAGAAATGTGTGGGGTAAACAATGAAATATGAATAAATATTTAATGAATGACATTATTTAGGTACTTGAATAAGTTAGACAAAGAAATGAGATATATGAAGAAAGAAAGGGTAAAAAATCAAAGTAAATGAAAATAATGAAACACGAGTTCACTACAGTTAAATTATTTTCATTGTCGTCTTCAAGTCCGATTAGATAACAGATTGCTGATACTTGAGATCGGTGCCAGCAAAGCCATATCAAATACAAAACTTCAAAAACGAAATTAAAGTGCATTCAATCATTATATTTGTTTCGTTGGTTAATTTCAAGTACCTATATATAAAAATATTTTATCATAATTTTGAATATATTATTCATTTACCAAAATAAATAAAGCATATACTCACGTTAATATCAGATTTTTTTCTATAAATATCACCCATGATTCTAATACTCCTTGCGTAGGTCGCTTGATCACCAGACACCAGAGCTAACCTGGTAGCTTCCTGAAAGTTGAAGAAGAAATGTTGCCGGAAACACGGCAAATACAAAACCTGTTATACTTACGGAGCAATAGTCATGTGCGTCACCTAGTTCACCTTGTTTTCTGAGAGCTGATGCCATTTGGAGCAATGCAGCTCTAGAAAATAGACAGCCCTTTAATAAAGTACAATTTCATATCCACTAATTTTATATAAATGAGGGAGTAGCGGCGAGGACCAAACAATTATTGAATTTTCAATCAAAAGTTTGAGATTCAAAAGTTCAATTAAAGATTATCAAACAGCAGACAATGCAAACAATTTTAAAAGAAACTTGAATTTGGGACAATATACCGAATGGTTTTAGAAATTTTAGAAAAAGTCCTATTTTGGACCAAAAATGGGGTTAGGTTAAGAAGATAGCACTTTAATATTGCAAATGATTCCTGTTTTAGTATTAGAATTTTATTTGATCAAAAAACAAGAAAAGAAAAAAATTATTTCAAATTTCCACAAAATTTGGTACTATTTTTGGTTCCTTTTAATGTTTTGACCGTTTCAATTTTCTACATCACGTTTCCATTTGATATTTCTTATAGAAACAAATTTATTTTTATTTCAATACAACACCAACACCTCGACATGTATTTCGATCACCAAGTGATCATCTTCAAGAGAAAAATTAATCTTCCTCTTGAATATGATCACGTGTTGATCGAAACCGTTATTTTAACACCTCGACACGTGTTTCGATCATCAAGTGATCATCTCCAAGAGGAAGATGGAAGTGGAGTTTCAACGTTAACTTCAGGGTTGCAGAACTATTATAATCATACCTATGGTGCCTGGAGTTTAGGTCTCCTAATTGAAGAGACCGTGAGAGGTCGTAGGCCTTGGAAGCGTATTTAGCGCTCTTGTCTGCATCTTGAAGTCTGCTGAAGAGTTCTGATAGACCTACGTACACCTGAAGACGAAGCTTATTTATTATTGTAGAGAATGACTAATCAATTAAACATTTCCAAAATCATCATTTAAAAAAAGGTATGAATATGGATTCAAACTGATTAAATAGAATGGAAAAACTAAAAGTGGCTAAAACAACTAAAACAAAAATATCTATGTTTAGCATTGTGCTCTTTATTTCCAGAAGGTTCCCAGAGGTCAATTCAATTTCAATTCAAGAAATGTCTTTAGATTAAATGTTAGTCTTTCCATAGTCAGTTTTTAGTCTTATGAAGATGAATTTTTATTGGCTATTTAGCAGGAGGCTAACCACTTGGTTAGGTTAGGTTAGGACAATTATCCTGAGAACCCAGATATGTGAAACTTATTTAGAGTCATGGAATGACAGATAAGGTTTCTTAACATATAAACGAATATAATGAGAAACTTCAGATACTTTTATGCTCGTGAAAGGCATTAAACACGAAGGTAAGCAACAAGAAGTAAATGAAAAACCAGGAAAAGAAGCCTCATCACCACCATAAATAGGCCAATAACAAGAAAAGGAATTAATATCCCTACAATTTATTCACATTAGTTCAGTTCAACTCAGGTTCCAGGAAAATCTGGATTTTCAAAGCATAAAGTTAACGAGGTCCTATGTGAACTTCATGGAGTTCGTGGTCCAGGAAGACCAGTCGGTAAAAGGAGTTTGTCATTGATATCACAAACATTTGCAAATCACTCACGTCAAAAATAGAGAAAGTACGTCCGAGTCTTTGATAGCCTCAGATATTGGCTGATGGTAGCACGATCTGAAACTAATTTTTCAGGATACCATCACGGCTCAATGGGGTTCTCAACTTACAGATTGATCTGGCCACCAGAACCCCAATAATCCTCGTTACTGTCAAATGAACATGTTACCATTCACAAAGAGAAGAGAAAGAGACTGTTGCAATTATATAGAGTTGTCATTTGTTCAGGCTGTTTTGTCATATCACAATGGACACGTGCATATAATAAAATTGTTTCATCAAAATGAGTGTTCTGTTCAGGAAACGTACCGCGCTCTTCGCCCATTTTACGGACTATTCGAAAGGTGGTGGATAAATTTGAGTTCACTGGTTTAGTAAACGATCGACCAATGCCCATACGTCGACGAAACATACACTCAACGTGATGACCAAAACCTTTTTAGACAATGGAACAGTTACACCTTTCTCTAGGCAAGGAAAATTAAGACATATCAAAGCTCCCTAGGATGAAGAATAAAACCGTAGAGTTTAACATAAGTGTTTGTTTAACGTCCTACAATATCAACGAGATATTGGCGTTGCCCTATACTGAGCATATACCAAAAATATTATTCCCCTTCTTCAGGTATCTATAAGGCAATGGGCTCCATATAATTTTCCTTGACTTTCTAGTAAGACCAAAGCCTTTTTAACTGTAGAATCTCAATCCTAGGCAACAAAATTATTAATTTGCAGTCGATGGAAAAGAAACATAGGGTTTTTAATGGACCAACTACGGCAAACCGTAAATGAAACAATGAGAATTATATGGTTTTTGAATTCATTGAGGAGTTGAACAATTTTTAATTACTGTGCAAAAACTCCTGGATTTTTTGGTGACTTGAATTAGCAAATAAAATTGAAAATGGGTCTCTTCAAGTCTATTTTATGTACGGATATGGGGTCTTTAGTATTTAATAAAATATCTCAATTGTGTTTTCAGGACAAAGCCATTAGTTTTGTATTTATGAATACAATTATTGAACCATTTGGTGACTTAGGAATATTTCTTGTTTGTTATTTGATTTGCGGATATCGCCTTGACTAGTTGTTTTTGTTTTACAGTATTTTTTTTCACAGTTTTGGAATTTGTTAGTTCAGAATCCGATGATAGCTTTTTCATTTATATTGTATATTTTCCCTTTCCAAAACTCATCAAGTTGAGATTACCTGATATCCAGCAGAAATCTGTTTTTGATTTCATGTGAAAATAAGAGGTAGGTATACTGCACTCGATAGTATTATTGCAGAATGACATCTTTGAATTACCACACAATTTCGTAGTGAGGAGATACCACCTGAGCCGATACCTTTGTACAAAGTGATTCACGAACCAGTATATCCCGAAGGAGAACTGCAATAAATTATGCAGATAAGGTAAACTTGAACAGATTGTTTGGAACAGTCGGTATCAATTTCTACGAAACAATCTTTGAACAAGGAAGCTACAAGATTAGATCTTCGGTGAAAATTATGTCTGAATGAAAGTTTTGTTGAAGCAACCTTATCATTTCACAGATATACTGAAAAATTATACAGGTAATCAATGTACACAGTGTGACAATTTAAAAACTTACAATGTGCTGTAGATCACAAACAAAAGATATTTCTCTAAAACGTTTCTAGTAAAGAAATGAACCAAAAAAGAGCTCACCCCCATCAACTTCCTAAGCCCCACCTATACCAACTAAAAAATTATCAAATAGCAAACCCCTAATTTTTTTAAGACAAATTACGAGTCCTACAGGAAAATCCTTAAGGCACTCTCAGAGCGGTGCCTGTGCGAAAGTAGCGATTCACATTGGATTTGAATCGCTGGAGATTAAATGGAAAAACATTCTCAGGAAGTTTATTTCAGATAAACGCAGTTCTCCAAATGAAAGAATTCTAAAACAGTGAAGTTCGAGGTGTACTATGTTGAACATACACAACGATGAGCAGCCACAGTCCGTCGCGTATTTCTGATATGTACCGTTTTTGGTGGAATCAAATGTGCCACTTGAACACTTCCCGTGAAAGTATCTATAGAATAGAAACAAATCTCCAACCTTTCTTCAATGCTTTAGACTATCAAGGTTGCACGTGATGTTCGCGTCTCCAATCAAGCGGATGGCTCTTTTCTGAATGGAATCCAGCAACTTCCGGGTATGTTTGGGAGCAGAGCCACACACAAGAAAAAAACACCAAAAAAAAGCTCAGATCAGAGCTATAAAAAACAAAAAAAGGCGCAGAGGTGTACACAGTTCTCGGGCGCAAAAGTGTTCTAGGATTTTGAGAAGCAGCCTTTGCAATTCCAGCGACATGATTGTGCCAAGACATATTGATGTCCATTTTAACCTCCAACAAACTTATCAGAGCAGCAAGCAAAATTGTCTGACCTGACATTATTATATCCGGTTTGGAAACATTTATCTTCTTGGAGAAAACCGATGTCTGGGTTTTTGTGGCATTGAATTGAACCTGGTTCAATTCAATGCCATTGGATTCCCGATGTCCGGGAATCCAAATGGAATGACGAGACAAGTGTGGTGTTGTCAGCAAAGCAGTATATTGGATTCTTGTTTTTTTCCAGTGAGTCGTTGATATACAATACAAAGAGGATTGGAGACAATATGGATGCTTCGGAACCACCAGCGTCGATATTGAAAGTATTCGAGAGATACCCATCAACGGCCACTTGCAGGGAACGTTATTTCAGAAAGCTGAAGAGCCATACACAAACATGATCCGACAAGCCATAACATCGAAGTTTGGCCAGCAAGCAGGCCAAAATATGGTTTGCAAGTGGAATTGGTGTTCACATTCAACAAACTACTCCTATGTTCTTTCGTTCTTTCAGGAAAGGTTCTCCTCATTAGACCAATATATTTCATCACATATATAATAACAACTAGGTAATCGTAAACTACATTGTTACAGTTTTTCATACAATCATAGATTTTGAATGACGTTTACAGGTGAAATATTACAAACTGAAAATGTCAGAGAATTTTTTTTTCAGAAGTAATACAAATATGTAGAGGTCATGACTTTTACCAGAATTCTAAAAGATATATTTTGAAAGACCCTTAGACCTAAATAACAACATTTCAAGTAATGGTCTACATAGGTGTACTTGTACTATAGGTGTCTATTCGGAATATCTCGGAAAATTCTTTACAAAGAAATAAACCACTCAATTTCAACCACTGTCAGGAAAAAACTCACTTTAGAAATTTATAGTCTACATCACGACCTCGGCTATAAAGAAAATTTCATTTGTTACCGTCCAAACAAAATCAAGTATTCCTCTTGCATCCTCTAATGCTCTTTTTATTGTATTTTCCGTAACGGTCCGTATAAGTCCCTCTCGAAGGGTCAATAATTTTCCTTTCAAAGATTTAGAGCGTGCTTCAGAAAATTGAATTGGGTCATTGGTACAAGCCATTAATACTGGAAACGTGAAAGGTTTATAAGCAGTGGCGTTGCTCTACTGAACGACGTTGGGGTTTTAAGTTCACATAATTCCATAAATTTTTAAATCAATCAATTCACAACACAACAAAAAATATTTTTTGAATGTTTCAAATTATTGATAAATATTCAGA